CAGAAGGATCAGCTGCCAACAGCAAAACTAAAAAGGACAGGAGTGACAATTTTCTTCAAGACTGGATAGGCACAACCTCAACCATTTACAATTCCAGTGCATATCCAGTTTGAAAATCAGTAGATCAAATTGGGAGTTACCTATGCTGACCCAAGGACCGAAATTTCTTGCAGCCTACTACGCGAAGAAAAGTGGCGCACATTGAGCAGATTTTCTACGTGGAGTGCCCTCGCCCAAATAAAGCAAAGAAGGAGCTTTTTATTTTATATTTTAATTTCCTCTACTTCTCCCGGAGCTCTGTACTATGTTAACGGTACTGTGAACGGTACTGTGACCGGTACCGTGAACGGTACTGTGAACGGTACTGTGAACGGTACTGTGAACGGTACTGTGAACGGTACTGTGAACGGTACTGTGAACGGTACTTGTTATTCCTTCCAAAAAAAAACAAAAAAAAAGAGAACAATACCAAACACTGACTAAAATTTTGAATTTCGGGACCCGGTATTCCATTGTTTCACTTTGTCTTGAATATTGATTGTTGATGATGATGCAGATTCAATATTTTTCTAAAATTAAATGGTTGTTATGCTGGCGCTAGAACCCGCAAATGAAATCAATTTGACGGCAGTTTTGGCAATTAGAGTTAGACTTAGACAACGCAGGTCACACATCGGTTTCTCTTCTTTTGCACCCATAACGACAAACCGCATTGAACGTTATTACTTTTTTAGTCGATAAATCATTCGCTGACAGATAACAAGCGACCGTGGAGGCGTGGAATTTACTGGTCACTGAGAGTACTGACTGGATGCCCCTTAGCAAGAATTTAGACAAAAATGTACATTTCAGGAACATATAAAAAAGAACTTTTGGTTAAATATCCGGCCAAATTCTTGGAAACTGGTCCGAAACCGGATATTTAAGCCGGATATCCGGACGGAACCAAATTCAGCCGGATGTCCGGTCGATTACTAGAGCAGACTATTATAGAAAAAAGCTGTTGGTTGTGTTGACTTCATTACTGTTTTAATTTTCAACGCCAACCTCAGTCTCATCAAAGTTTGTTAATTTGCCATTTATGAATTCCTCCCAATTCCCTCTCTGAACTTGAGCATATCTGTCGTTAAGTTTTGAGCGGTAATTGCTCGGAAGTCGGAATCATAAATTACAGTATAACTATTAAACTTTCACAGTGTTTTACAGACTAATTAATGGACAACATCTTAACGTTAACACTCGAATTATTAAGAGTGAAGTTATCATGATTAACATGACACACAGGTCCACTGTAACACAATCTGTCAGAGTTTACTGAAGACATGAAACAAATTAGAATCTATGGAACATTAAGATCAAATTTGTTACTCAACTGTGGTTAATTCGATAATCAGTTAAGAAATCAACTACAGGATTGATCATTGAGTCAATGATGAATTAAGTCTCACCTGGGTTGACACACTTAGGACGGGTGGATTGGTGAGAGAACAATATTCCCTGCTCACATGTGATCTCCTTACTTCCCATCACGGAGTAACCTGGCTCACAGGACACTGAGATCGTGGTCCCGTATACGACAGGGAAACTGGAGTCAGTGATGAGATAGTTTTCTGTCAACAATCTTGTGCACTGATCTGAGTGCAAGAGTGAAGGTTAAAGTTTAAAATAAATTGACTGAAATAACTCATATTCTGGGATTGGGATTTCTATAATTGAAAATAACAAGAGGTGTACTTATTATTCCTGTAAATTATCTATAATGCTACCTAAACATCTACATTCACTATGACTAATTAACAAACCTATGGTGCAAGTAGGACGTTGCTCCATGGTGAAGAGCACTCCCCTCTCACATGTGATGGTATTGCCCCCAGCTAGAGTGTGACCCGGCTTACAGGCAACTTCCACCACTGTTCCTACTATCACGGGGAAGGTGCTGGTCGTTGTCATGTCTGAGAGAGCTGCTGGTAGTTCTGTACACGTGTCTGTGGGTAGCAGTTCACTGTTCACGTTAAATCAGACATAACTTATTATTGGTCAAGTGATTAACTAATTTTTGTTGAGGTTGTTATAACCCTATTATTCCGATCATCTCATATTTAAATATATCATCGCCAGTTTCCTGGGATCTCACCTAAAACACAGTGAGGTGTATCCTTGTACTCCCAGCTCTTACCCCCAATTTCCCGGGACTTACCTAAAAGACAGTGAGGTGTATCCTTGTACTCCCAGCTCTTATCCTTGATACAGGTTACGAGACTGCTTCCAGACAGAGTGTATCCCTGGATACACTCCAGCTCCACTCCTTTTCCGTGGTCCACTGGAAGTGGGATGTTTGTCTTCATGGCGAACATTTCATCCGGCAATCCAGTACACTTGTCTATGGAGCAGCTAGGGAAGTTCCTGGCTGAGCTGAATTTTGTGTCCTGGACACAGGTGATGGTTCTGTCTCCAGCTAAGGAGTACGCAGCCACACAGTTCACATCTACTATTGTCCCCTTCTTCACAGGGAACTGGGAGCTAGTGTAGAGGTTACTGTCTGGCGGTAATTCTGAGCATGATCCTAAACAGCGGAGTTAATATTAGCTGACCTTGAAATACAATGTTAATAAAACAACATCCAGCAAGCTTGTTTAAACGTGCTAAAAAAGTAATCCATTTGAAGCTGAGAGGATCATCTCACGTACCTAAATCATTGCAGCGAGGTTTGTCCTGGAAGAGGAACACAGTGTCCTGGTCACAAATGATCACAACGTTTCCCCTAAGGTTCCTATCCTCTGAACACTGCACTGGTATTATGGTGCCATAACTCACCGGGAACTGCACGTCCGTCTGTAGGTGTGTAATCTCCGGGGGCAACCCCGTGCAGGTCTCTGATCAGATAATCATTTTAGTTTATTAGAAGTTATTTAATATCTTTTAAATTTTGTATTTAGGTAACATTTTTTTAATTTTTTTATTATATTGATTGATGAATCACAATATTTTCGACTAACGACTTACTTGCAATACAACCAGGATCGTGAGGTGACTTGTAGATCCTACTTTTGATACAAGTGATGGTATCAGCTCCTGATAGATAGTATCCAGTCTCACAGATAACTGTCACCACAACACCGTACTGCACCGGAAACTCAGTTTCCGTTTCAAGGTTTGCTGTGTCCGGGAGAGACTCGCACCTGTCTATAATAGTGAAACATTAATTTTCTTCGTTCTTTAGACAGGTTAATTGGGCTCAAATAGTTTAAGATTGCTAAAAATCCCTTCTTAAGTTTAACATCAACAAACGAACAACAAAACATTCTGCCTACAAACCTAACAGACAGGAGGGGACGTTATTAAAGGAAAAATCTGTTCCCTCAACACATGTGACAGTGCTGTCTCCAGTCAGAGTGTGCCCGGGACTACACTTCAGGGAAACTTCAGCCCCAGGTGGGAGGGGGAACTGTGTCTCTGTTATAATCTCCTTCCAGTTAGAAGGCAGACTCTCACACGAAACTGAACGTTTTGAATAAATCTATATGCGCCCTAAAAGTAGAAGCTAAAATACATAATCTTAAATAATAATCTCTAGACCCAATTTCTAATTGACCCTGATGGTGACTTGTGGCATTTATGAAATGTCTAAATAAAATATATCAGAGAAAATTACCGCAGCGAATGTGATCCTCGGAAGCATGGGATCCTTTAGGACACGTGATACACATCCCTGCTCTCTCTACACTGTAACTGTTTGTGAGACACTTCTGACATACTGACTGTGAACCGTCCTTGAAGGTCCCTCGTTGACATGGAACTGAATCAGAAATTAGTGTTTGGTTAGTAGACCCACTAGTAAAATAAGAGGGGGATTGTTTATATAATTATATTTGCAGACATAAAGCGAGTCACTCTTGTGATGTAATATGTCCAATAATATTCCCTTCTGAACTTACTGCAAGTAGTTTTTTCATTGTTAGGTTAGAGTTTTAGTCACAATTTCGTATTACTCTAACTCAGTTGATAAAGTAAAATATGATGTGACAAAGTAAAATATATTCGAAGAAATAGTGTTATACATAATTTGTTGCCTAATAAGTTTTTTACTGATGTTGTCTTAATGTTGTCTTATCGTTTGTTGTCTTATTGGTGTTTGTTTCATTTCATTATTGTTGTCTTATTGTTGTCTTAATGTTGCATCGGTGTTCGTTCTAGTTCCCTCTCTTCTGAACTTACTGCAAGTAGTTTTTTCATTGTTAGGTTCCTCTCCAACTGCGCATTTAGCACAGGTCGTCATTGCAGTGTCCTGATACGGTCCTTCTTCACATTGCTCTGAAAGAAAAGGGATGCCATTTCAAAATCCTTTATAAAGGAGTTTATAAAGGAGTATATATACGTTCACTGACAAAGTCTTTGTTTTTTTGGGTATTGAAATAATTGTTAAGAATTTCCCGGTTAAGGAGGGAGAAGGGGGTTTAGCGTGTACTTTGTGTGTAACCCAGCTTTTGAGGGAATCTATTAAAGCATGTTACAACAGGCAAAAGAGGAAGTCAGTTTATAACAGGACTTCGCGTTCTATTCGTAATTTTATAAATTGTATGGCTCTACTTAGAACAAAGATAACAGATTACGACCAAGACATCCCCCAGATTTCAGAACACCTCTCCTACTTAAAATCATATACTTTGGAAAATTTCCCCGATATGACAGTTATTTCTTAGTCATGAATCCTTCCGAACCCAGTTTTCTTCAGGTAATTCATATTGATATCATTTATTTTGGTTTGGAAAAAGGAGACACTGGCGACAGTCCCCCACATCCAGAAAGACGGTAGATATCAATTTGCGAGGAAATTTTGGAGGAAATTTGGTGCCAAAGACGAAATGTTTAGGAGACCTGACCTTTTCTTAGGGCATAAGAAAATTTTTAGGGGGGGAAATTAGATCTGTGAGGAAATTTGAAACTTTATAGCTGTGGAACACTCCACTCTACCAAATTTTGGGTTTTGGTAACGAATATATCTATATATCCAAACCTGGAGAAGGAATCTTCGCCGGGGTGCCGTATACTTTAATTTCAGCAATGTTCCAGTCTCCTACCGTTCCCTCCTGACTTATCTCAATAACATTTCCGTCTCCTTCACAGTTGAAAGTGTAGGAATTTTCTGCACTGCTGACCTTACCACAATCTTTAACATACTCATCCCCTGTTTTTATAAAGACTGAAGCTCCAACTATCCTGTCTTTACAGCAACTAAGTCTGTTGTAGATGATCACTTTAGTAACAGAAGACTGTGTCTCCAGATTAACGCGCATCCACATGCCGTCATTAGCTTCTAATGAGTGTGCGAAATTGTTTAGATTTCCATCCATAAGATATGAGGGAGGGTATAATCCGTGCTGGTTCTTGATCTTTATCCCTGCACCTACAATGGTCAGCATATTTTCTCCTGAAATAGTTCTTAGATAATGGTTTACAAATCTTTCACTGTCCAGCTATCTTTGAAAGATACCGCGACAATTGACCCCCCGACAATTGACCCCCCGACAATTGACCCCCATGTAATTTCACTTGGGTCAATCGATCGGGTCAGGGTCAGGGTCAGGGGTTGTCGGCCGTCGGGGGTTACAATTGTCGCCCACCCCTTTGGAATAACTCAACATTGATCCCATTTAATTCCCATGCCTTTAGCATTATATGGCAATTTGAAATTATCAGCATAACAACTTTTATTTTTCATTTCAAATTCGTCATTTATGCCGTAACTATATTTACCCTCGGCTTCGAAGAGATTCATCACATTCCCAAATAGGATCATGTAAAAGAACATTTCTGATCGATATAAAATGATAAGTTTTGACAAGTTGTGCTCAACAAAACCAATGTAAAATAATAAGTTGTACTCGGTGATGATCCCTATTAAACATCACAAAAGTTTTAACAATTCGTGTAAAAAAATATTTAATCATTTGTCCGTATTGTTTTCTTAAGAATTATAAATGAAAAAGTGGTGTCATCTCGGCCCGCTAATAATACCACGATGAGATGACCGGTAGGTTTAGGGTTGCTCTTTCGTGAACCACAAAATAACAATAAACAACGAAAAACAAACAACTACAATAGAAACATCGCCCATAAAAATTGGAAGAATTATGCGACCGTTTGGATGGACCACGCTGCACACTCTATTATATTATTGTATTACTAGTGTAACCCGGCCTTCGGCCGGGAATTCACTGCCGCAGTTAAAAAGGGTAGGAGCATTTACCCGTTGAGTCAAAACCCGCATTAGGTGAGCAATTCTATTCGGAGTGCCCTCACGTATCCAATGGTATCTTAAACAATAGTAATAGTATCTTAAACAATAATCAATAGAAATTAACCCTTAACACCACACCCGCCTATCATATTTGTGAAAACGCATAACATTGTCGTATGAAAGTATGAACTCTCTCTGCAGTCCAAACAGTGCCCCCTCCCCTAATAAGATTATAAGATTATAGTATAGACAGCAAATCTTACCCGGGTAATTCAATTACACTAATTATGCAGCTACATATGCGAGCCCCGTAACTCTTACCGTTCTGCTCAAGCCATTTTATATAACATTTGTGGTACAAAACCATCAATTAAACCACTTACCAACGACCGATTTAAAAAACCTTTATCATTTAACTTCGTCAGAGTTTTGTCGGCACTTTACCGAAAAAATCAGTCCCGCAACTCTTACCGTTTTCTTGATTAAGCCGCTCGTAAATTACAAACAGACAGACAGACAGACAGACAGACAGAAAACACACATTCTGGGATTATTAGTTAGATTAAAACCTCATACTGCTGCAATAATAGGGGTATAACTCTTAGGGCAACGTCTTTTAAGGTTCTTTAAATGGTTCTTCTTAAGAGGCTGGATGTTGGAATGGAGGGCCTTCTTAGGGAAAATCAGTGTGGGTTCAGACGGAACCGCTCATGTATTGATCAGATTTATTCCATCCGCACCATTATTCATAACTGTATTGAGTTTAACATTCCACTTTATGTTAATTTTATTGATTTTAAAGCAGCGTTTGATTCCATCAGAAGAGAGTTTATTTGGTCAAGCATGAGACACTATGGTCTTCCTGAGAAATATGTTAGAATCTTTCAGGGATTTTTCAACGGAACCATGAGTGCTGTCAGGGTTAATGGTGAAATGTCTGATTGGTTCTCTGTCAATTCAGGCACTGGACAGGGTGATATCCATTATCCAGGGCCCTCCTGTATTTAATTTTTGTCTGAACTTTGAAATCTTTTTGGCCGAGGTTCACAAGGCAATCAGTCATGGCGCTGTACTGCAAAAGGAACTGAAGGGTGCAAATGAAAAATGTATCATGGATAGTGACTACGCTGATGATCTGGCAGTGATGGACAATACTGAAGAAGGGCTCCAAGAGTCCACTGATCTTATCGCTCATTACACCTCTTATGCTGGGTTAAAGATCAACGCTAAAAACACACAATGCATGGCGATCAGCAAGTGTGCGTCCCAGCGACCTTACACCGAAAGAGACAGTATAAAGCTAACAGTGGAGGGAGAACCTGTAGAACAGATCAGTAACTTTGTTTATCTTGGTGCCAACATCAGTGGCGATGGTACCATTGACCGAGATCTTGACATCAGGATCCAGCTCGTGCTTTCGGTGCGTTCCATCAGCTTTGGAAGATATGGAACAGTAGAACTATAAGAACGCCCACCAAGATCCGGATCTACAAGGCTGCTGTTATTACTATTCCGTTATATTAGTAGAGGCTCTTACGGGCAAAAAGACGTGTTTTCTGCTACGAGTTTAGAGACCTAACCGCTAATTGGACACAATAGTATGATGTCTAAGGATCGATAATATGTTAAGAAGTATAAATTTGGCCTTATTAGTCACGTGATATACCAATGCGCGTTTTAAACTTTTACAGTCTATTACTCTGAGGCAAATAGAGTAATTATATTCATATTTTGTCAGCAATAAAATCAGATTATTTTCTATTTGGTGTAAAAATATGAGCTAGAACGGACATAATCTCGCTGAGTTATAGCTGTTTGAAATTTATGATGAACGCGCAGGAGCCAATTGATAACAACTAAATGCTTTTGCGCGTAGTGCGCGTCGAAAATTTGGCAAAAACGCTTGCGGAGTGACAATATTCAAACTTCGATAAACTATATGAAGTGGGTACTTCTCGGAAAGGAAAAATTTAGGCAAACACGATGTGACTATTTTTGGGTTGATTTAATACAACTGCAAAAAATTATTCAAACTTCAAGCAAAAAAGTCAAAATTTTTACCACTTTTTTGGATTTTACCCCCAAAAAAATAGAGGGATTTTTCAAATTTTTATATCATCTTGTGCGGCTGTGTTTTAGATATCTTCATGCAAGTTTTGCCGACATGCCAACAAAATTAACTTGTTCAAAATATCAAAAAACATGATTTTTTGGCCTATTTTTTGCCCAAGAATCGGTTTTTTGCAATTTTACCCCCAAAAAATCAGTCCAATCATCTTTAAACCACTTTTAATCGATTCTACGGTCAAAAATACGTCTAGTAAGGTGTAGCTGGGGTCCCTAGCGTATCGAGCAGACAATGCCCGTAAGAGCCTCTACTATATGGAGATTGGAGCTGAAGTCTGGATCACAACAATGAAGCAAATGAAACGGTTCGAGGTCTTCCATCTGACCTCCCTGAGAAGAATCTTGAAGATAAAGTGGTTCTTCCATATCTCCAATGAAGAAGTTCTCAGGCGTGCTGGAATTAAGTCTATTGAAACTTTCATCGGTTCGGCTAGACTAAGGTGGTACGGACACGTTATCAGAATGCCAGAGACACGGTTTCCCAATTTTTCACTGGATTGGAAACCAAGCTATGGAAAGAGACAGAGAGGACGACCTCGCAAAGGCTGGATGGCCTGTGTACTTGAGGATGCGGCTGACTTTATAGGTGTCGATAACATCAGCAGAGACGCAGTATAACAGTTAGCTCTTAAACGAGTGGAATGGAGGAACATGTTACGAGTTACACCGTAGAAGGATGTGTGTGATGCAGAGTGCAGACCACTCTAAAAGTCTAAAGATTAGGAGGAGACCTCTTCATGTAGCATGTATGTATTATTAAAACATGAAGCCCCACGAAAAACCTCACCGAACCTCCACGCGGTGTGGGGTGGGTGGCTCGAACGAGAGGTGCATGGATGTTTCTAACCTATGCAAAGGAAGGGACTAGCCATCTCTACAACAAAGGAAAGGCTCTAATAGCCTCTACTAACCTTAGAACCGCAGCATAACCGCTTTTCCCACAGGCAAATAACACCTTCTGCAGGAAACTAACACGCTCACAGGCTCCCACGTCTCGTGTAACGCCAGTATTTGGTTTTGGATCGGGTACTCAAAACAACGATAGAGGAGCGGTCTACACGCATCACGTGACGCATTCCGTACCGTCTAGCTAGGGTCGAATAAGCACTAAAAAAGTTAATCAGTTATCAGCTATTCTCCGTGGCAACTGTTACCGTGGCAACTGTTACCGTGGCAACTGTTACCGTGGCAACTGTTACCGTGGCAACTGTTACCGTGGCAACTGTTACCGTGGCAACTGTTACCGTGGCAACTGTTACCGTGGCAACTGCTTCATAGGAAACTCAACGGGCAGTCTTGTTATATAATTATCTAATTTTATTTACGTTTTTATTGGTGAACTTATGAGTAGAAAGGAAATTGTGATAAAATTAACTATTTAAGTATTTAGTGGGTAATAGTAATACTTTAAAAACTTTGACAATGCAGGACAGCAAGATACTATGTCATCATAGTTGTTGAGTGCCAATGGATCTACCAAAATAGGTTTCTCAGTAGACCAAACAGATAGTTGTTACTGTAGATAGGTTCCGACAACAAGAGTGCTGCGGCCCGCCCGCTCACCTAGTCACTTGTTAGATTTATAGTGGGTAAATCACACTTTCTGTCTAATACAGACAGTAAATCTTTTATCTTTTTTTGTCGTTAAGAACGGGAAAATTTGAATAAAACCGTTTTCAACGTCCAGCTGCTTGGATTCTTATTTTTCACAGCTTAGTTAGTTTAGCTGTGAAAAACGGGCAACACCATTTTATACGGAATAGAGCAAGCTACATGTAAGGTCACTAAGAGATGTCTGAGAGAATTGACGTCCTAAGCTATCTAGGGACTACCGCGGAATTTTAATTATTCATCTTCCACCAGTATATATCAGATGTCAAATGTGTACCTGGTATCGTTTAAATCATATCGTTCAGGCTCAGCGGCCAGCTTCACAAAGGTCGAGGGTAATGATCCGGAGAGGCGACAGAACGTCCAATGACTATTACCGATTAGCCATTAATAAAATATCGTCTTGAACCTGGACCGGGGAGCCAGGAATATCATACTAAATTAAAATACGAGAATTATCTGAAATTGCAGTATAATAACACAACCGCGTACATGGTTACCTTAATTATTCCATTCTACAGTACAAACAATCTTAACCCGGCCTATTGGCGATATAACGACCATTATCATTTGCATTATGCATTAATCATAATGGGTAACGCACTATCATGCATTACCCATTAATAAAACATTGAACCTTGGGTTAAAATGTAGTGGAGTACGAGGAATATCAAACTAGATACAATTTGAGGATTCTCAGAGCACAATCTCACCTTCAGCTATTCCGCGCAGCACTCAACAGCCAAGGTATTTAAATGGTATTATAATGCGAGCGTGCTAAATCACTTTACTCTCCAGTAATATGGAAAAGTTGTTACATGATATTTTTCATAAATGAATTGATTTTCATCCCTTTTTATGTTAATAAAAAATGTGTAGACTATTCTTTGTGCCTAAGTGAGGATTAAACGTTTGAGAAAGGACCATGGTCATACTCATTAACCGGGCTACCCATTTCTGCAAATAGCCTGTTGCAAATTGTGGAGAAAATTTAAATCAAAAGTTACAATTTTTGTCCGTTTTTTTTTCGTTAACGGACAATAACGGACAAAAAATAACATGATCCCCCCCATAGTCATACTATGAGTATTGCTGAAAGCACAGTGTATTTGTAAGGCCTACACGGACCGCCTCTAACTAGCCAATCCCTGTTTACATGCCGTGTAGCAGGGGACTAGAAAGAGCTATGTAATGTATAGCATTATAGGTAATAAGCCCAATTTGTACGTGGCATGCGTAGTATAATAGTGTACTGATGTGTATCAATATTATTATTATGAAGTGAGCTGATTGGAGCCTATATTTATTATAGTTATAGTGAACGGAAATCTAGCGACCGCCAAAACGAAACAACGGGCGCAATTCTTGTTAGAATTGAATTTGATGGTGCGCTGTTTTTTACAGCCTTCTAAAAATCTTCAAAAAGCGAGGTCCAAGATTTGCAAAATCGAATAAAAATGAGTATAGGACTATCTTATCTCTTCTAAATTATCCCTAGAACATTATACTCGATTTTCTGTACGTGATTTAAAATCACTTGCACAAAACAATAGCATACAAGCGTTAATCCAGAAAAGCGATACCCCCAGAAAAGTTGGGGACAGAATGGAAATAGCTCAGTGTTGTTAAATTCGATAAAGATCGGTTTAAAAGTATTCGACCTCTCAAAAAACTACGTCAAATTACGTATTAAGTCTTTAGTCATTTACATCAAACTCCTAAAGTATAGTTGTTAGATACAATATAAAATACGAAATATTTGCACTTGCACTTTGCCGCGTTAGTAAAATGCTAACAGTTTGCGCGCATAATGTCTCGTTGGTAACACGACATCTGTGATCTGTCCGACAGCGATATTTGTCCGACAGCACTATTTTCGTGTGTTTGAAGTGATATCTCAAGTTTGGCACATAGAAAACATTTAAAAAAGAAATTTCCGGTTGAATATCCGGCCAAATTCTTGGAAACCGGACCGAAACCGGAACCGGACATTAAAGCCAGATATCCGGCCAGAACCAGATTCAGCCGGATATCCGGTCAATTTCTAATCTGAAAATGTGTATTCATAAACAGGATCCAACTTCGCTGATGCTTTAATTACTTAGTTACTGGTTTACTGGACTATTACAGTGATCTGAGTAATAATAAACTGTCGATTATTGGATGTGAGGCTCGGATCACTGGATTGTGGGTCTCAGATACTGTTACTATACAGCATACGTCACAGCTTCATGGATCACTGGATTACTGGATTAGGACTGAGACTCGATGGGTGCCAAAAGGAATTTGGACCTACGAGTGGTAATCGTCAACAAATTTCTGATTTATCTCCTCGTTAAACTGAAAGCAATCGATAGAACTGGTTTCTTAAACAAGACAGTAAAGAGAATAAGAACATGAAACAGGAGAAAAATGTTCCCGAGATTTGTCTACTTGTTGTGCTATTCGTAGACCGTTTCCTTGTACCGCCGCGCAGTATTGTTTTATGAAGGATTATGTGATTTACACTTACAGTGCTAGCGACATATAACTTAACAATGTTTACGGTATTTCGGCCAGGGGACTAGCTACTAAGTGAGTTGGTAGTTAACTCATTATTGGAGTTAAAGCTGTGAAAGGTTAACATCTACAGTGTGTAAAGATAGTTGACAATCTCATGTATCCAATGGAAGTGACCCAGAAGGCTGGAAGATAAGTTACTTGAAGAATGATACCATGGCAATGACGGCGTCTAGTTTTAAATGGTTTTTATAAAACTTTGCAACGCACCTTATAATATATATATATATATATATATATATACCAGACGCTGCAATATTGCCGGCTGTTCGGGAAGCTGACAACGCAGGGTGCCATGCCTGTGGAAAATGCTATGTTTGTAAGCAAAGTTTCCTGTCCCCTTGTTCCAAATTTAGTAGTCACCATTCCAAACAAGTTTTCCCTATTACTAAATATATAACTTGTCAGAGTAATAACCTTATTTATTTAATAGAGTGTAGAACTTGTGAACAGTCGTATGTAGGATATACTACTTCTAATCTCCCTAAGAGATTTTCTAATCATAAGAGCCACATTAAGAAAGGTATCAGGAGTTGTAAGTTAGTAAATCACTTTTTAGATTTTGATCATGATTTAGATTTTAGTTCAGTAGCCTTATATAACTCTTCACTTAGTACGCACCTTTCTGTTATTATAGTGGACGCTCTAGAATTTAAACCTGAAATAAGTAAAGCTGATAGGGAAAAGGCCATGGAAGCTAGAGAGGGGTTCTACCAGACCCAATTGAAAACCCTTGAGCGTTATGGGGGTATGAACACCCTCGATAATAACCACATCCTTTTTAAATCCGCTGGAGCTTAGTATTTAGTTTATTTACTTTATTTAACATGATCTTAGCCTATAAACCCGTGTTTAGTTCACAATATTGCTATCAGAGACGTGTTATATTCATTACTATTTAAATATAATTACTGCTTGATTCAGAGAAATCTAGCTTTTTCCGAGAAACTAATCTCTAATAGATTAGATAAGATGTACTCAGCCATTCTTTTCGTTTGATTATTACTCAGTATGTTTTAGTTTTGTACCGTTTTAAATCACATAGTTTTGTACGTCTTCCTAAGACTTGTTTTCCTTTCCTAGTTTGTAAGTTATTTTAAAGATTTGTGTATATTCCAGTTGCTTTTAGAACAATTTTATCTCAGATAACGATGTTTAATAAAATGATGCAAAGAATTTCGAAGATCTAATCAACACCGACTTTTAATGTGTAGGAGTACAGCAACGAAATATATATATATACAATTAACTTAACCATTAAATAAATAATGATCAGTAATTCTAGTTTAACAACGGGGAAACTTTATATGTTAAGCGTACACTAACCACGACAATCCGGATTTTGTCCTGTTGGAATCAGGTCTCCGTCCTGACAATCTGCTTTGTCACCTCCTATGTTGGTGGAGTCTTCAGGACAGCTCAAGGTAATCTCCGTTCCGTGTTGAACC